TAGCTCTTTCTAAGGGACCCAACTGAATAGGTGTTTTCCTTCACCTGAGGACGGAAACAGATCCAGTTTCCGAAACGTCGTGTTTTTATTTATCTTAAAACCAGGACGATGGATAAAGTCCAAAATCCCAACATATCAGTGTGTTATACACCATCGTCAGAATCCTATAGTAACTAACTGTAAATCCAGCCCTGCTAGCATGTTTAAATATGGTCATTTACAATGTAGAAATGAATTTATGTGGCACTAAAACTGAGGAGACACCATAAATACAAATGGGAAACATGAAGTGTGCACATGTTAATACAAATCTCCTGTGCTGTGTGCTTTATGTATATAAGAGAAAGAAAAGTAATCATAAATGACATACTTACGAGATTATGTACAAAACACAGTAATGTTAAACAAAAAATGTAGTTGCTAAAAGGAAATAAAAATATTATCGGGGATTGCATATCCAAGAAGGTACTTTCCCAACATTACAGAGCCTAAACTGCTGACAGTACCATTAAATAAACTACAGACACAAATAATACTAGGTACATTCACTCACATCTTTAACAATTTCCTCCAAGCATGGCAACACATCCATTGAACTGTACTTCATTACAACGTTTAAAACATCCATCACACCAGGATTCTGTTCCATTCTGCGTAGCCTACATGTCACATGGTATGAGAAATAGTCAACATTCGCTTGCACCAAGTCAGTCACATCTCTGCCATAGCCACATGCCTGACTTATGTCCTGAATAGCAGCCATTCCAGCTTCAGCAACAAGTTCATTTGCACTGCCAGCTCGTTCTAACACCAAGTACAGTGTCTTCAACAAGAACTGATCAAATTTAGAACCCAGAACTCTAGCCATCTTCCCTACACCTTCAACAAGTAAACAAGCTTGTATGACATTAGCTTGTGCTTGTCCAATTGTAATGGATGTCTCCTCCTGGAGTTCATTCACGTGAGTTCCCACATTCAGACTTACGTACCAAATGGATGGTTCTAGGTATACATGCAGAACATTTCTAATAATGTCCTCTAAATTTGCATCTTCTCTGTGGGCACCTGCAGATGAACATGAATATATATTAATAAGATGTACAAATCTTGAACACATGGCTATGTAGCAACAGTGGAAGGTGTCCTACAAATTGATATACATGGAATTTCCAAACACATTCTTTGTGATTTTTCATAGATTGCTGATCTAAATGTCCATTTGTCATAGTTCTACCATTTTTTCTGGTGTATAAGATCCAATATTTTCTGTCAGAAATGTCCCTAAGAACTGCAGTGCATTTTATTCATCATTGCAATTAAAAAAAAATCTTTATTTATTATTCCTAAACCATTATGCATCTTACATACTGGGAAATACAGTATGTTCACTGTTGACTTAGGCACTCAAGTCATGTCAGATAATCTGACATCTACTATATATACCATGACATATTTCAGGAAAAAGAACTTTTGCATGCAGAATGGGAACTTAAATTTCCATCCTTAAAAGGTTAAAGACAAAAATTTATCCATTTTTTTGTGCACAAGCATTTCATTCAGCAAATACTGTACTGTTGATTTCCATATTAGAGAACCCAAGTTGACACATTGGCCAATTGGACCTAGTTATGCCTATCTTCTTCTTTAGTTATAACATAAACTCAGAAAACTTAAGCTCAATAGATGATTTAGTGAAAAGAAGAAAAGTCTTACCTCCACACAAAATCTCATTTAAAAGGAATGTGATTTCCTTGTTCTGATATGGAACACTATGAAATCTGTCCAACAGATGATAACTCAGAATATTTAAATCTCCATACTGACCAAGCATATGGCACACATCTTCCATTTTCTGTTGAATACTATGATCAGTGAAGTGCTTGAACACCTTCCATGGTGATGTCTGTGGCTTTCCATGACTTGTTTCTAAATCTAGAACATAATGTAAGCAACATGCCAATCCACTCCAACAGTGAGCTACTAGTTACAGTAGAAATACTACAACTAACATAACTTCTTTAAGTCAACCACCACAGAATAAGTGGTCAAGCTCCATTCCCATGGGGAAACAAAATCACTACCTTTCATTTAATAACAGCATGTGCAATCAAGTGGACGGCACTTCTGCCTTGTAATCTGGAGGTCCTGGGTTTAAATCTTGACTATAGACCTGCTATCCTTACAGGAGTTTTTCATGATTTTCTTCTGTCAATCGAGGAAAATGCTGGTACAGTATCTCAAAACTGACCACAGCTAATTCGTTTCACATTCTTTCCAATTCATCAGTCACTAATTTTCCTGCTACTTGATGTTATATAGTCTGCACTCCTGCATTGCCACCTGCTCACGCTGCTTCCTCACTCGCAGATTTTTCTACCCTGAAGATGGGGGGGGGGACACATTCCTCTGAAACGTTGGTTGTCACAAGATCTATATGAGGCCACATCCCAGAAAACAGCATTCTTTACTAATCTGCATGTTCAGCACCAATAATACCAAAGTATATCATTTGGTATGATATTGGGCCAGTTCCATCTGCCTCCCATCCTCATAACTTCTATCTCAACCATTCATCTTAATGTTATCCTCCCATATCCTCAGCAAAAGGTTTCCCACTAAAATTGTACATAAATTCCTCTTCTCTCTGCATCCTTGCCACATGCCCATACCCTATAAATTATTGAATCCCAACTTCAATTAAAGGTAAACGATTTATTCTTCTTCCAAACTTAAATTAGACAGTTTACTCTAATCTTAAACTCCAGTATTCCCTGTTTTTATTAACCTGTTCTATTCTCACGCTTCATGACAGAAAAGTACCAATGTGACATACTGCTGTGAAGTGCCAGAAAGAAAAGAATATGTGCACTAAATCACATAACACAATCATACAGCCAAACAGAGTTCTAATGACTATGACATTTCTACCACACTTAGAAATGCACAAGCATTAATCTTCACCCTCTCAATGGAAACTTGGTCAGTGAAAAATATATTGAGGAAACATGATGATGAATATGTAGAATCTGATGTTCTCACAGTGGTGGTGGTTATGCAGAGTATCTTCTGGGCTATAACACTGCGTAGTCTATTGAATGTCAACCAACGTTTCAGAGGAACACACCGCCTCCATTTTCAGGGTCAAAGATGGTGGTGAGATGTTCCTCTGAAATGCTGGTTGACTTTCAGTGGACTGTATGGCAATATATCCCAGGGGACAGAAACCTTCATGTATAATGAATACCTCTTAAACTGTAATCTTCCAGCAGAGATACATATGAACTATCCAGTTCAATAGCTTGAATCAAAGTCCACACCAGGCGGTTCAGGTGAGATGCTGAGTTCAACAGATAAGGAAGTTTGTTAACTCCTAACAGTTTTATGTAGCCAGCCAGTAACCGCAATGCTGCTAACTGCTGCACATCATCTGCAAACAATATTACACTATATTAACATGAATAGGTTTACAGCAAATAACACATTCTCATATCATTTCTCCCTAAGACCTATCTTTTCCAACATCCTTGAACCTCCTGCTCAGTCCTCCATGTGACAGCTTTTATAGAGTTCTCTATCTATGCTGCTTATTCAAGTGAAACCTTTTTTGGGATTGTTCTGAGTGACAGGAACAGAGGCCATTAACAGCAGTTCCCAAGGGTGTCCAGGCACTCACTGTTCCCATTTGTGCTAACACACCCATTCTGTTGGACAACTCATGGTTAAATGCCAGTGCATCATGCATCACTTCTGCCATGGACATGCTTCATGCAAGCAACCTTTGTATTTTTTGTCTACTCCATTTGAACTACAATTCCAGTGCATTATAACCTCCTAGACCTTACTACCAGTACTGTAACAATACATGCCATTCCACATTAATCATGATGCCTTTGTTACACAGACTCAAAACTGACACATCACTTAGCCCTTTCAAATCAAATATTTTCCTCAATATTCATTCTTTCAAATACTGGCAATTTATGTTCCTCCCTTAATGTATGAGACCTACCCTAATTACCATACAAAATAGTTGAAGAAATTACTGGTTTATTATAGCGTGTTTCATACTAAGCTGTTTCCATCATTTCCTAACTACTGGTCAGTAACAATCTACCTTCAGACCTTCAGCTGACCACTTGCAGTTAATCCTGATAAAAGCCTACAATTAGTCTGGCCAAACACTATCAGTAAATTTAATGAAATGATTTGTCACATCATATTTCTTTTACAAACACTGGAACTTCTAAATAATACATAATAATAATAATATATAATATAGGTTAGAAAAAGTTACTGTTTGAATCAACTTGCTTTGTACTACACTGATGAACTCAGTTTTACATGCATTTATCTTTCACTGTGGTTCCAAAGCCAAAGGAACAGGGTCTGCCCTTCTGAATCAGATTAGTAAGCTGATTATTTCTCATTTACTATAAATTCCATGTCTACTAACCACACTTCAAGTACAGTTTTATTTACTGGAAAGCATAGCATATGACTAACATTTCAACACATATCATTCATTAACTGCAATGATATCCCATTTGTTCATAGTGAACAAACCCTGCAAGACAAGAATTTCTTGTACCTGTTCCATGAAGGATCCTTGGCAGTTTTGTTACCAAGTTAAAAAAATTATCTTCTAGGATTTCTAGAAGAGATTTTCCACAGCTTGCTTCACATTTCTCAGAGTACAATTTCAGTCCATCTGTGGCTGTTGTGGCTATCTTTTCATTTTCATCTTCAGAAAGCATGATGAGCACTTCAATCAGATACATCATAGATGGTTTCATGTTTCTGCAATGAAAATATTGTTATCATCCAGAAAACTGTTTTAGTGTTTAATTTTGCCTGATAATTCAGTAAACATGGGAAAATTATTTTCACAGAAAACAGAATACAGCTGTAACATGATGCACTCTAGAAAAGGAAAGTGAAAAGCTGTGACAATCAAGTTATTTCTGTAGGATCTATGGTTCTATCTTCTGGGATATAAGACTGCGTAGTCTGTTAAAGTCCACTGACATTTCAGAGGGACATGTTGCCTCCATCTTCAGGGTTACAGAATAAGCCAAGCAATATGCTGTTTTGTCAATCACCAGATGACACACTAGTATTGTTTATGAGGTAGTGCACTGCTGGATTATACAGTCCATTATCATCTGTTAAAATTTCAAACTCAATTTATTAAAATTGCTCAGGACATAACCTAATTGTTGCAATGAAAGGGCTAAAACATTACTAACTTGTATATTAGATTACCACAGCTGGATGATGCTATAATACAATGTTAACTCATTCATTAATTATTGGAGGGGGTGGGTTTCCCCATGCACCGCGACCAGTTGTTGATCTCTCGTACGTCCCCCTTTGATATTCTACCAGACTGTAGCTCCCTACCAGCCCCGTTCAGCCAGCGAGTTCGGCCCCTCTACTGGCAGTGGTACCCGATACTTCCCCATCTACTGGAGGCATTGGAAACTACTTGGGTGGGAAACTTTTTACCTAATTTTGCTCAGAGGTCTCCTAGAGACATGAGGATCTTTTACGTGCCGTAAATCTACGACATGGGACCCATGGCTTAAAGTCCCTCNGATCATTATAAGTTATGATTCAAGTCAGTAGAACATTATAACATGGTGTAAGTCTGAAATTTAAGTTTGAAGTCATGAGTCTAAAATTTCAGATTATAAATCTATAGGATGTTAATTTAATGGGATTACAAGTCTGAAAATTCATAAGTTGGCAAGTCATAGGCCAAGGTATGAGTGTAGTCTAGTGTTTCTCTACTAAACTCAGTACTTATTGTTATTACACATCCAAGCCTGAGACTCTTATGTACCACTGAACATCCACACCAAAACATTTTCTGTTGAGAACTATGCATCAAACACTGTCATGAGTAAACTGTGTGAAGTCGTATGTGAAAATGAAGCTGGAGAATTTGTCACTTTTATCAAACTGAAGTCAAATAGAACTAATGTATTGACACTGACTGTCACAACTGAGTGAGGATGACTCTTGCTTTGTATTTTGGAATCCTAGGTTTGATATTTGGTCTAAGGGCAGTTATTCTGATTGATGTTGCTTGTGTGTGAGTCCCTTCAAGACAGGGACACTTCCATTCACATCTTTCCTAATTCACCACCCACAATTTTTGACATTTACTACACCTGGGAAAGCACTGTTAAATAAACTATGAAGTAAATAAGACATACTGAAATGCCATTTTTACACAAATACCTAATAGTACAAAATTATCTGCACTTAAACACCTAACTAACTTTAAAATTTAAACCATATTATCTGCCTTATTAGCATACGTATAGTTGATCTGTATAATGACTGCACCACTTGATGGGAGTTTGCTTGTGAGACCACCCACATATATCACATGAACAGAAATAATGGACAGCCAACTGCTTTCAAACCAACTGGAAACATGCATGCTCATGCTCATCTTCACATTGCAACGCTTTATGGTACACTGCCAGAAAACTCAGTCACTGATTTATAGCCTCACTGAATGTTTATTCTAGCTCTTGCATTTGCTTGGTAGAATTTAAGATCTAAAAGTTACTTTGGTCATCCATTAATATTGTGATGCAGATACCNATATAATTTAAGATCTTTGAAAAACCTGTCTTACCTCAGTAATTCAAGAGTTCATCATTTTAAAAGGAATTCACAACACAAGTTGTGGGTTTGCCGTTGGAGGCAAAAGATAAATTGTCTATGCAAGCATTTATAAGGTAGACAACATGTGAGTAACTCTAAAAGTTACTTTGGTCATCCATTAATATTGTGATGCAGATACCAACTGCTAGGCAACGACTCTGTAAACACATCTCCTCAACAAACGCACATGCAATAATAGGACATCCATCGTTAGGTAATGGACCAGTAAACATGCCTCCTTAACAACAGAAGACAGTGTTTTCTGTGAGGTACATGCCAAGGGGTTATGAAAGGGTACAGTCAGAAGATGTGAGGAGTATAGAACAGTAGCACAGAGTGGAGAGTCAAGTTTCGAGATGTCAGCCTGCCAGGATATGAGCTTGGGAGCAGAGGAATTGAATTGAGTTGGCAGTTGCAGAATAATGGCAAGAAAGGAATTTGGCTGTGACAAGAAGGCTCCATGTGTAATTTGAAGTGACAATGACATTGTTATAACTCCACTGCCAGGATATAACTAGTGAAGACTGAGAACCCTTGTGCATGCAGAATGGTGAACAGCAAAGCATGTACAATAGCGAGAGCACTGTACTGCATGCAGCCCCAAGTTGTGTCAATGTATAAGATGTTAATAAATCCAATCATCCAATCCAAAACCCATGCAATAAGTCACCCTACAAGTGACAATATGTAAGTACCATGTTATCTATAGCAGTTCACACCTCTTCATGAATAAACTCATAAACAATTCATGAATCTAACAGTGGATTGCAGCCATGCCATATATCAGGCAGTCAGTAACTTCCCACCATGAGGGCCTTGGTATGGTCCAAGGTCAGTTCATGAGGGATTTGTGGGGCACATGGTGGCACTGGGACAGTTTTCTCTGAGTACTTAGTTCTCATTCCAACAACAGCTCCACTTTCACTGAACATGGACACTAAACAGCCTTGACACAAACAGTGGCATTAAACAACTAGGCAAAAACGGTGGATGATGGCAGCTCTAAAACTCCTCAGTTTTTTGACTCACTGGAATGGCAGCAATTAATTCTGAAGAGTCTAGCAAATGGAGGTGATTACAGATGAGTAAGCCTAACAGACATCATGTTCCTGCTGAACCATGAACTGTGAGATAAACAATGAAAGAAAGGACCAAACCTGCAGCACTTAGAGAGCAGTAAGTAACAAGATGATGCCAGTGCCATTCTCACTTTCCAGTGTGAATGATGCTGAACCATGCCGATAGCTTTCACTGAAAGAGCCAGCTTCTGTGCAGCAGCACAATACCATTCAGGCGTGCGATTCTTTTCCTGTAAGCTCTTCAGCATGGATTCCCTGGTACAATCCTGCCACTTGTTATCCAATGGATCTTCTTGCATGACTGCTGCAGGAGGATCTATTCTGAATGACATACTCATATTTTCTGAAGCATCAGAAGCATTGTTATCTTCCATCACAATAGTAATTATCTCTCCCCATGCCTTTACAGCAAGCTGGAACAGAGAGGCAATAATAGGAAAGCCACTTGCATTGTACTTCATAATGTAATGTTCATCTATTCATCTGCATGTTTACTTTCTGTATAACACAGTTTGATCTCAATGAACTAACAACTGTCTGCAGATTCAATGCTGGTTCATACTACTTCACAGAAAACTCAAATGCTCTTAGCATCACTACACCATGTGTAGTGAAATTCATCATCTCCCTCAAAAGCATCAAATGAGAATTAATGTGAAATTTGGTGATTTATACATATTAACTAGCACTGCTGAGGTTTGAACAAATCAAGATGGATATGATGGGGTGGACATGTAGGTAGAATGGGAGAAGCAGGTGAACATAACATTGAATATTAGCACAAATTTCCACAATTTATTCTTTCCATAACTTCATCATTTATCTCATCCCTGTTCTCAGACTTTTAAACCTGAAGACATTTTGAAATGATTTATTAGACTAATAAAATCCTTGTTTAACCTTTAAACGCCGGACTTCGAAATAGTGGTAAGCTTGAGCTGGCCGGAGTTTATTTAAATGCCAGCTGCTGGTGCTCGTTTAAATGCCCGTTGCTACTCTGCCTTTAAATGTCCGTTCCTGTTAGGACCTTAATCAATTTTAAGCGTTGTGTTTAAAAATGCTGTATCTAGCTCAATTTTTATGATAAATTGATGGAATTAACTTTGTTTATATCAGCAAAGAAAATAGTGTCGCATATTATAATGGAAGATTTGAAATTTTTAATACAAAATCTCATACTCTATTTTCAATTTTTTGTGTTTTAATTTTGATTCGTACTGCAAAAACGGGTTCCCAGTTTTTCACAGAGTTGTTCTGCATTATAAATTCATTTCTGTTTGTAACACTTGACAAATGTTAGCAGTCCCTGGTGTCATAAAGCAGATGGAAGCAATAAAATCATTTGATCTTCTGCTAGCACTGCTTACACTCTTCGGATTTTCGAATCTTTTGACGAAAGGACAGAAGAATGAAAGCATGGCTATTCAAGAGAAAACTAGAGGGGTCTCTTCTTCAGTGCTAAGACCTTCCATTAGAGTTGCAAAAGCTTATTGCCCCTTCTATTTGAATGAACAGACAGCTGCATCGTGGCTGAGATACAGAGTGCAATCTGTTTTGTGTGCGTTCGTAGTGAAATCGAATACTGTAGTATAATTTCAGCCTATATATACATCAAGCAGGTAACAACAAAAATGGTATGTACATCGAATTTTACAATATATTTTTAACAAACCTAACTGCAGAATCTGCAATAAAATTACTGGATTGTGGATAAGTTTTGGCATAATACATACGTATATTTTTATTTGCTGTTGTTCANTCTTCTTCAGTGCTAAGACCTTCCATTAGAGTTGCAAAAGCTTATTGCCCCTTCTATTTGAATGAACAGACAGCTGCATCGTGGCTGAGATACAGAGTGCAATCTGTTTTGTGTGCGTTCGTAGTGAAATCGAATACTGTAGTATAATTTCAGCCTATATATACATCAAGCAGGTAACAACAAAAATGGTATGTACATCGAATTTTACAATATATTTTTAACAAACCTAACTGCAGAATCTGCAATAAAATTACTGGATTGTGGATAAGTTTTGGCATAATACATACGTATATTTTTATTTGCTGTTGTTCATTTAGGTATTATTTTAATTCCTCTATTACGGTTTTACTCAAGTCAGTCTGGTAATTACTACATTTAAAAATAAATATTTAGGACTGTGCATGCGCTTCTACTAGTGGCGTGTGCGCGTGCTTCCACTAGCGGAGTTTAAATCCCTGACTGGCCAAAACGGGGTACTTTGGCCACGAAGACCTTACTCATCGCTGGCACAAACGGGGCACTTCGGCACTTAAAGGTTAATCCTAGCACAAAGATTTTGAACAAAGCCAAGGAATAAGACAAAAATGTGAGGAAAATTTTAAACGATTCAACCTGGACACTGAGATAACCGGCCTGGAACTACAGAAATTTAATCCTAACTGTGAATAAATAACAAGTGACAGAACTAAATCCCATACCATTGTTATTTGATGTCCCTGCTTCTCATCATCAGTGGCAATTTTCTGCAAGCCACCGATTATACCTGGTAGAAAGAACATTAACACACCTCCTACTTGCTGCCGAAAAACTTCATCATCTCCATCTGCGTCACTGTGGACTTGAGCGAGAGTCATGATACACTCAACGGCTGCAAGTCTGTATGAAGAAAAAACAAATATGGCATCATCAGGCTTGATATGTAACTCCCTCTTATGGGGTTATGTCAAACATATCATTTATGGGTACAGTGGACAGGTGATCAGCTCAGCTGAATTCAAACAGCAGATCACTGCAGCTATTGACGCAATAACTCTCATTCCAAGCTGTGTATGGGCTGAAATCAGTTACTGAGTAGGCATATGTCATGCCACAAAAGAGGCACAAAGGAACATTGATGGATAAAACTTTTTTAATTAACCTTGGCTTCAGTACACATTTCAACATGCATAATGCTTTTGAAAATAAAGCTTCCTAAAGCACTGGAGCGACCGTCTAGACATTCTGTATAGACTAAAGTCAAATATGGATCCTGCTGGAATGAATGATGAAATGATACTGAAAAGTGTAAGGAAAAGGATGAAATGATGCAAAATCAGAACAAGTTTCTAGTCTAACATAGAACAGATGAATATATTAACAGAATATCACAGCAAACCAAATGATCTGCACACCTATATAGAACATACTGCAGAAATAATTATCACTAGTGCCTGGGATAAAACACTGATATTTTTAGGTCAGACAGATTGTTTAGGTTATTTATTCACCTTTGCCCCAGCAAAGGATCAGAGCCAGCTCAAGCTAGTAAATGTCAAACAGGTGAACATTTCAGGTACTTTTATTGGTACTTACAAGTGACAGAACATTTCTTGAAGACAAAAAAGTTTCTTAGATTCATAATTTTACATAAATTTTACTAAGGTATGGCCACTTCCGCACTATAATGAAAACTAGGTCACAAAAAGAGGGCATCAACAGTGCACAAACCAAACTTCATGGTTAAAATGGGGAGCATTCCTGCTTCACATTCAGGGATTCCTCTGTTCAAACAGCAATCAGCTATCCTGACTTGGGTTTCTCATGGTTTTCCTCAGTCCTTCCAGGCAAATGCCAGGATAGAACCTCAAACTAGAACACAACCACTTCCTTCCACATCCTTTCCAATTCACTATTAATTAATTAATTAATTCATTCATTCATTCATTAGTAATTAATTGGTACTACAGTCTGAGCTACTGACAGCATCTCTGAATGTAACAGTGTACAAACTGAAGAACAACTTTTTACTCATTAAAAGGTTGTACAGAATTATATAATTCACAATATTATTCACTGAAAACAAATTAAAAAACACTTCGTCTTAAATGAAAAATACAAGATTACTGACAAACATGAAAGGAACATGTACAGGCAATGCATGTTCACACGATATCTGAAATTGCAACATATGTATACATCTAGAATATTCACATAAAGGCTCACTACTGCAAGAAGTTGACTGTAACAATTTATGGAATCAGGGGTTCTCTTACAAAATCCTGAGGCTCTGCAGAGTACAGCTTTGGAAATGCTTCCTTGTAAATTATCCTTAAAAACTGATTAAAATTTACTTCTGCAGCATTAACCTGATATTAATATTGAAAGTTACAGAAGAGAATAATCATTTATACCTCAGAGAACGTAACTTTTCCCACTGGGCCATTTGGATGGCTATGTAAATCCCCTGGCCCAACTTTGGTGCATGTTCCCTGCTGTAAAACTCACAGAGGACATCAGAAGATGCTTGCTTCAGAAGGCATGTGACACATTCCACAACACTGAGCTTCAGCTCCTCTGGAACATCTCCAACTGTAACAAACTCCACAGTATAGGACGGCCTTGAAACATTTACTGAGTTTGTCAAAAAATTCCCTACTTCAATGGAAACCATATGTTTACTACTGCATTCGGCAAAACCCGCTACTGCTCCACTGTCTGGTATGCTAAACAGAACATGTTTCAGAAAGTGGATTCATTTTCATTCTCATGTAAAAAAGTGGGGAGACACTTATTCAGCTGAGTTTAAAAATCCTGGACCAAAATGAATAACTGCCTCCCAACCTTTTCATCTGATAATGGAAATATACCATTTCTGAAATGCTCAGGATACCAGATGATGGGCAAAGTCCAAAAACATCTCCTTGGACTCCCCTCACTGCATCTACAGTTGGAGGCAGAGGTCAGGGCAGGAATCTACCTTCTCCAGTGCAGTGAACAATGGAAACCTAGATCTGATGGATTCAGCCATGCATACATAACTCAGGACATGAAAAAAGAGCCCATATTACAAATGGGGTCTGACAAAATGATACTGAGACATGTATATGAAAAACCCTTCACAGTCAGATTTTCTGACAGAAGTGAATGGGAAGATGGGTTTCGGCCCAGTAGAAATGGGGGACTGATCTGGTATACAGATGGTTCCAAGATAAATAGGGGCACTGGAGCTGGTGTGTTCTGCTGTGGCATGAGGCGGAAACTTAGTTTCAGCCTTGGGCAGTATATGACAGTATTCCAGGCAGAAGTATATGCCATTATGGCATGTATTATGGAGAATTTAGATAGGAACTACAGAAATATGAACATCTACATTCAATTTGACAGCCAAGCTGCAATCAAAGTGCTTGACAAACACCAGATCAATTCAAAATTGGTCTGGGATTGCCACCAAACCCGCATGGAACTGGCCAAACATAACAGGGTACAACTGATATGGGTGCCGGGGCATGAGGGTATTGCTGGAAACGAAACAGCAGACCAATTAGCTAAGATTGGAGCTGAACATCCGTTCATACGACCTGAACCAGCCTGTGGCATCTCTATAGGAGTTGCCAAACAGGCAATCAGGGACTGGATAAACATGAAGCACAAGAAATACTGGGGATCCTTAGCTGGACTCAGGCAAGCAAAGGGACTCATATGAGGACCCTCTACTAAACGAGCGAAGGAACTGTTGAAGTTAAACAGGAACCAGCTATGATGGCTGGTAGGGCTACTTACAGGACACTGTCACCTCAAAGGACACCTGTTCAAACTGGGACTAAGTGATAGTCCCAATTGTGAGAGGTGTCAAGTAGGAAACGAAACAGCCACACATATCCTTTGTGAATGTGAGGCCTTAGCTTATTGAAGACTATGTCACTTGGGTCAGTACTTTATGGAACCAAGTGACTATTTCGACGCCCCCACGTACAAAATCCTGCACTTCATTCGAAGCGCAGGATTGCTGAGGGGATAATCAAAAGGGGAAGCACAATAGACCACTGTAGGTTGCGATGCAAGGGCCGAGAAGGCCTACCCCTCATAATTCATTCATTCATTCATTCATTCAAGTCCAAAAACATAGTACAGTGTGTTCAACTAAGGAGGAAACTTCGCAACACTGTTGACCTGGCCCAACATTCCTCACAGATTGCTGCTGTAACTGCTGATAGCAGAATGAGTCAAAAGCGCTAATAAATGTCACAGTCACAGCAGCAATCTGTGCGGAATATTGGGCCTGGTCAACGGTGTTGCGAAGTTTCCTCCTTGATTGAATGCCCTGTATTACTAATACATCAGCAACAGAACCCTTTAGATTGGTTCCTATTGCTGGAGCTTATCCTGAATTATATGAGTCCAGTCAATATCTTTACATCCTATATGCCTAACAAACACTTCAGTACTATACTCTCTTCCGTGTTTAGGTCTTCCCTTGGAACTTTCTGACCAAAATTTTGTACACATTTCACACTTCCCCCCTTGTGTGCTCTAAATCTACTCAATGTTGCCTCTGATTTAATTACTCTAATAATATTAGGTAAGGAAGACAAATTATGAATATTTTATTATGTAACTTTTTTGTCATCTTGTCATTCCTTTTTCTCTGGTTCAGACATAACAGACAACCACAATAAAATACTATATATATGAAACCTGCAGAAGTTTGACATATCAGACAAGCACCAAGAAATATCACAGCATATGAAACCTATATAAAATCATATCTTGCATCAAAGTCATGGCAGTGTAGCAAATACATCATGTAGGGGAGAAAATAACACCAAATAATTCTGGAAAACTGGGACAGTGCAGTAAAACTGTCATATGTGAGATGGAGAAAATGCTACTATCAAGTCTCAGAAGAATTAGTTATTGTGGTATAACCATAACATTGGTAGAGAGAGAACTGCCTCCTGGTTGAACTGAGTCAAGATTGTATAAACATTACATTTGTTGAAAAGTATAAGCCATTTTGTAATACTAGAATAACATCTCACCTAAAAGTGACTTCTTCTGGTCATAGACTTGAAAGAAAAGTAAAGTGTAGAGCTTCAAGAATTTCTTCAAATCACAAACACGTACACGTTGCAATACCTCCTTAATGCTGATAACAAGATATCGTTTAATTTCAGACCTGCAGACATATATTTAAATTTAATTATAACCATGTATCTCCTGTAGTCAGCTTAACTGTATGCTTATGAAGTCTAGATACCATAAACCAGCCTGAATGAAATATAAGGAAATGTGAAAATGTATTAATTATCATTGAATTCAGTTGGTCCACAGAGAAGGCCAGCACTTTATCCCAAGACCATTAGGTCCACACATCACTTCAGCTGAACACATAAATAAATTCTATATCATGTTACATATCAAATAAAAACGTTACAGTGAAGCACTCTGTACATACAAAAACAAATTTTAAGTACATTTTTTCTTTTATTTAAATCTAAATATCCCACCTATAACAAGACCACAAAATTAAGTCACACAGATTGGTCTCCTTCATAACATATGCCTATATGCGCCTCTAGTCATGTAGCCATTCTGTTCAAAAGAAAGTTGGCAGTGATAACTACAAGATAACCCTAACTACTGACAAGTACTTTGGGCTGCCTGATATATGTCAGAGGAAGACCAAGGGGAATACAACAATAGGCAGATGGGGGAAGCCTTCAGCCCTGTCAACCCCATCATTCATGGGACTTGTTTCTGTAGCCTCAGTAAGTAATTAACATTCAGTGGCCACTGTGCCGAGTGCACCCAGTTGGACTCCACCCCCACTAAGCGAATTTAAGTAACTGACATCACAGAAAAATGGCAGTACTATTACCATTAGTATTATACCACTATATCACTAAGTTATTTTATTACTTATTACTCAATTATTTTTTATGTTGGTTATTTAATGGGTTGAGGCACTACGCTACAAGCCAGAAGGTCGTGGGTTCGAGTCCCGAAGAGGTGGATTTTTTTTTAATTGACCTAATACTCCCAGCCACACTATGGTCCTGGGGTTGACTCAGCTTCTTAACAGAAATGAGTACCAGGAATCTTCCTGGGTGTAAAGGGCACAGCATGTAACACTGACAACCTCAACACCATCTGTGAGCTGACTTTCTAGAAAATGTGGGAGCCTTGATGTCTCACAACCCTACGGGCCTTCACAGCATGTTACAGGGACAGCTTTACCTTTTTGACCTTTGTGAAGATCATGCAGCGTCTGATGATGGGATGATTAAGAAATGTTGAGCAGCTGGTGGAATGAAAATGAGAACTGGAAGGGGAAACCAAAGTGCTCAGAGAAAAACTGCCCCAATGCTGCTCTGTTCACCACAAACTCCACATGACCTGACCTGGGACTGAACCTGGGCTGCCACAGTGGAAAGTCAGCAACTAACTGCCTAAGTTGTGAGTACAGAATGTTTGGATTTTGTCCATTTTCTAATATACTAAAGAACACAAAATTATGGATACCAGATCAGTTTCCATCCTTAGGCAAAAGGATGAGAGGCATCGATTTTACTGTATCCATTAGTAGGAGCTACACAAAATCATTGCATTGACTGAAGTTAACTCCAGTTTCCAAAATACTGTGTTCTTTAGAACACTGGATGAGGAACAAAATTCAAAACCTCAGTGATCCTGAGTATTATACACCATCATCAGAACCCTATAGAATCAACTTAATTGCCTGAGCTATGGTATAACCACTAGATTATAATGATCACAAGTTTAATGCAATAAAATGAGTGATATATATAAGTAAGTAACACAGAACTTTCATAAACAATCGCATTTACTTTCTATATTAATATGTGCACATTTCCTGCCATCAGTGCAATGGAATATTTGCAAAATTATAATTAGAGATTTTGAAATGATCAGATTATTAGAAGAAAGAAGAAAACAGCATGCATCTCTATTACTACTATTTATCCCAATCGCTTACATACATTAGGCATTAGGTATTGTTCAGCAAAGATATACTCATTATGTGAATACCAGAAATTTGAAACAACTAAAGTCTTAAAAAATAAGCAGCCACAAGAACACACACATATATATATATATATCATCATCATCATTTCCTTTATTTTCCATATATCCATACAAGCAAAACTCCTAGGATGTGGAAATAGTCCATTTGATTATAGATGTATACATGTAATAGATAACATAAGTCACACAACTAAAATAACACACACCAGTTAACTAACATAGGTAATATAAAAAAAAACAAGAGCTTATTACAATTGTAACTAAACATAATTTAAAAAGTGCATTACTATGAAAACTTAAAATTAATATAATTTTCCCATAAATCAAAATACATTGATACAGGACTCGTCATATACATACACATCCTCCACTTTCCATAAACATCCATACAGGGAACAAACCCAGGATGTGGAATTAGTCATCAAACACATACACAAAGTCACACAAGTCACACTGCGAAGATCACCCACATTA